TAGTAGTAGTAGTTAGTAGTAGTAGTAGTAGTAGTAGTAGTAGTAGTAGTAGTAGTAGTAGTAGTAGTAGTAGAGTCGTAGTAGTAGTAGTAGTAGTAGAGTAGTAGTAGTAGTCGTAGTAGTAGTAGTAGTAGTAGTAGTAGTAGTAGTAGTAGTAGTAGTAGTAGTAGTAGTAGTAGTAGTAGTAGTAGTGTAGTAGTAATAGTAGTAGCGGTAGTAGTAGTAGTCGTAGTAGTAGTCGTAGTAGTAGTCGTAGTAGTAGCCGTAGTAGTAGTCCTTGTCGTAGTAGTGGTTGTAGTGGTAGTAGTAGTGGTAGTAGTAGTAGTAGTAGTAGTAGTTTTTTTAGTAGTAGTAGTAGTAGTAGTAGTAGTCGTAGTAGTAGTCGTAGTAGTAGTAGTAGTAGTAGCAGCAGTAGTAGCAGTAGTAGTGTTAGTAGCAGTAGTAGTAGTAGTAGTAGTAGTAGTAGTAGTAGTAGTAGTAGTAGTAGTCGTAGTAGTAGTATTAGTAGCAGTAGTAGTAGTAGTAGTAGTCGTCGTCGTCGTCGTCGTCGTCGTCGTCGTAGTAGTAGTAGTAGTAGTAGTAGTAGTAGTAGTAGTAGTAATCGTATTAGTAGTAGTAGTCGTCGTCGTCATCGTCGTCGTCGTCGTAGTAGTAGTAGTAGTCGTAGTCGTAGTCGTAAACGTGGTCGTAGTCGTAATCGTAGTCGTAGTAATAGTAGTAGTGGTCGTTATCTTTATTTTCGTGGTCGTAGCAGTAGACGAAACGGTCGTGTTGCACAAAGGCAGGTAACACATGTGGGTGATGCGGCTGATGATGACGAGGGTGAGGCAAAGGCGGTTAATGATGAGGATGTGAAAGCTGGAGGGGAGAATGAACAGGAGCTCAGGGAGGGATGACATGGTGCCCCCGCCCGAGCTCTCAGGCCTCACGCAGCCGGTTGCGGCGTCGCCGCCTTCCGCCTCCCCGCCGCCAGTGGCGGCGCGCTGGCCGCAGCGCACATCAACGGGCGCACCCAGCCTGCTTTGTCTGTCTGTGTATCTCCTCTCCACCTTTCGCTCCCTCGATCTCCCCCCATCCACTCCTTTACGTTCCCCTTGTGCGCAGCAGCTTGCCAACCGCACTGACGGACCCGTGTCCGATAACATCGATTCCCGCGAAGAGGATCAGCAACACTTGCGCGGCGTTGCGCGATTGCAAGTGGGACCACGACAGCAACCACACAACATGCCTTGGATAAGGATTCATTGTCGTGTGCGCTGAGCCCATGTGTGTTGCTTCCACTGTCGCAATAGCGTCGCCAGATGAGAACATCAAAGAAAGCATGTCCAGTCGCGCTGTCGCGCGTGAACATCTCCGCCATATGGGGGAGCTGCGTAGTAACGCCGTAGCGTAGCACGGTTGCAGCGTTTCGTGCTTGCTGCATTGCCTCTCTGGTCCTCTTGTGACACGCGAGACCCGCAAAACTGGCGGGCTTCTTTGGGCCTCTTTGGGGTGCCTCGGGGAGAGCTTGTTTGGTGTAGTCTGGGGTGTCCCCGGCTGGGTCAGGGGGGAGGTCCTGCGGCCTTCCGGGGGATCTCCCTGGGACTGTCTTGGGTCTTCTTTGGTTCTTTTGGGCCGTCGTGTGGCCGTCCTGGGCCACCTTGGCGGCCTCTCGGGGTTGAGTCATCATGGAAACGTTATGTTTTGTTTGTCTGTTCGGGGGACTTACCGCCGTCCAGGGCGGCCCGGACCCCCCCACTGGTGTTCAATGTCGTTTGGGGCTTTCCAGCGGCCTCCTTGGAGGGCTCCTCGGGGTCTTCGTTGGGCCAGCGATAGCCTATTGCGGTGCTGCCTGGCGGAGGTCGGGCCGTTTCAGGGGCCTGGCTCCTTCAGAGGGGGGTCGTGGCCGGTCTTGGGGCGTCGCGTGATCGTGTTTCGGCGGCGAGCTAGGGGGGAAGTGAGAAGGGGCGGGCCTTCTCAGGAGGCTAGGGAGGCCCCGGGCCTTCCGAGAAGTCTTCAAGGCCTTCCCCGAAGGCGCAGGAGGCTTCTCAGAAGGCCAGAGGGCTTCCGAGAAGTCCCGCCCTCCGTCTGATTACCAGCCTGGAACTGATCCCTATCCCTATGCTGGGCACCTCCTCATCACGATGCCAATCTTAGGGAGACCCTTTATTTTTTGAGGGCGAATCCCTAAGATTGTCATCGCCTTTTGGCGTGTCGATCTTAGGGATCGGGATACGCTCGAGGCTGGTAATCTGAGGAGGCCTTCTCCTCCCCACGGCCCGCCCTGGGCCCGCCGCCGAGCCGCGGAAGCCAAGGAGCCCTCAAGCTGTGGATGCGCAAACTTTAGATGGCTGGCTCTCGCTCGTGTCGAGGAGTGGCCTCCTCGCTCCTCCTCGCTCCTCCTCCTCCTCCTCCTCCTCCTCCTCCTCCTCCTCCTCCTCCTCTCTCCTCCTCCTCCTCTCTCCTCCTCCTCCTCTCTCCTCCTCCTCCTCCTCCTCCTCCTCCTCCTCCTCCTCCTCGCTTCTCCTCCTCCTCCTCCAGCTTCGGGCCTCCAGAGAAGCATGCATGCATGTTCACGTGCGCTCTTGCAGCAAATCATGCGGGGATGTTCAGCCACGCGCAGAGGCGATGCGGCGAGATCCTCCGACCCCATCTACGGTAGGGGCCGGACCACAAGAAACCTTCTACAAGAAACCCAACCTTGAGACCCCAGGACGTCCATGGATTTTTCCGTGAGGGAACGGCACGCTTTCCATCGCAAAGCCCTCGAAACCCTAGAGAACCAGGGCACCCTGGAGGCAAGCAGGGTGTTTCTTGGCATGGGCCCCCCACTGTAGAAACGTACAAATGGGAATATCGCGTTCCCCTCCCCAGCCTCCCCGCCACCCTTCCCCCTCCCCGCCCCCCCCCGCCGAGGTCTTCCATGGTTGGGGTGCCTCCCCCTCCTCAAATGAAGTTGCACGTAAACCAGGGGCGGCCATGAGGAGGGTGATGACTAGGGGGGTGGGTGGGTGGATCTCATGGCGTGGGCCATAATATTTCCCCAGATCTCATGGCGCTTCTTCTTCTTCTTCTTCTTATCACTATATTTCAATACATCCCCGGTCCCCCCCCTGGGCCGCGCACATGCCGCTGGCCATGATTTGCGCGCCCCCCCCCCCCTCCTTGGACGCCCCCGAGTAAACTGCCTCCGCCGTACTCCGACCCCATCTGGGATGATATGAGATGAGAGCAGTCGCGAAGCGAGTCTATATAAGTTAAGCCCTGGCCGCACGCTCAGCCTGGCTGAGCACTTTAGGCTCAAGACCTCTCTCTGAACGACGGAGGTGCTGCCTGGGAGGACGAGCAGCCTGGAGGGCCATGGGCTGCCCACGGGGAGGCCGAGCCAGGACGCCGTCCACGCCCGGCGTCGCTGCTGGCTTGATTCGTGGTAGGGCGCCCCCGCTCACGCGAACCTTACGTCGGGCGTATCCCTCTGCAGGAGGAGTGCCCAGAAATAGGCCAAAGATAGTCTGGGGACGGCTTTTCGCCCAGTTTTGAGCATTTCCTGATATGTTTTTTTCCCAACCATCCTGTGGTGTTGGGTCCTCGTTTCGAAGAGACGGCGCCCCGCGTTCCCACCTCCTCCCTCCTCCTCCCACTCCTCCCTCCTCCCTCCTCCCTCATCCCTCCTCCCCCCTCCTCCCTCCTCCCCATCCTTGCCCTTGCTCTCGGCACACCTCTCACACGTTTCGTAGCCCCATAGGGAGCTCCACCGAAGGTCCCAGTGGCACAGCCCGCATGCGTCCGCCACACCCAGCACAGCGCTTCGTGGCCCCATAGGGAGCTCCACCGAAGGCCCCAGTGGGGGGGGACGCATGCGTCCGCCGCACCCAGCACGGCGTTTCGTGGCCCCATAGGGAGCTCCACCGAAGGCCCCAGTGGAGGGGGGCCCATGCGTCCGCAACACCCAGCACAGCGTTTCGTGGCCCCATAGGGAGCTCCACCGAAGGCCCCAGTGGAGGGGGGCGCATGCGACCGCCACACCCAGCACAGCGTTTCGTGGCCCCATAGGGAGCTCCACCGAAGGCCCCAGTGGGGGGGGGCGCATGCGTCCGCAACGCCCAGCACGGCGTTTCGTGGCCCTATAGGGAGGTTCACCGAATGTCCCAGTGGGGGGGGACGCATGTTTCCGCCACACCCAGCACGGCGTTCCGTGGCCCCATAGGGAGTTCCACCGAAGGTCCCACTGGAGGGGGGCGCATGCATCCGCCACGCCCAGCACAGCGTTTCGTGGCCCCATAGGGAGCTCCACCGAAGGTCCCAGTGGCACAGCCCGCATGCGTCCGCCACACCCAGCACAGCGTTTCGTGGCCCCATAGGGAGCTCCACCGAAGGCCCCAGTGGGGGGGGCGCATGCGTCCGCCACACCCAGCACAGCGTTTCGTGGCCCCATAGGGGGCTCCACCGAAGGTCCCAGTGGGGGGGGCGCATGCGTCCGCCACACCCAGCACGGCGTTTCGTGGCCCCATAGGGAGCTCCACCGAAGGCCCCAGTGGAGGGGGGCCCATGCGTCCGCCACACCCGGCACAACGTTTCGTGGCCCCATAGGGAGCTCCACCGAAGGCCCCAGTGGGGGGGGGGGGAGCGCATGCGTCCGCCACACCCAGCACAGCGTTTCGTGGCCCCATAGGGAGCTCCACCGAATGCGTTGCTCACAAAGACGGTACTCACAACTGCATATGGTTGGGTCTTTCGCCAGGCAAATTTGGATTCTTGCTTTCATTCCTTCCAGAATTTTCGTTCCAAATCCGCTTGTCGGGGGACATGCCCGACCTACCAGTAGGGTTTTTCCGCCCACGCGAGCCCGTTTCACGCCATGTCACACGCCTGTCGGGGGGTTCGCGGCGAGCATGTGTCGTTGCGCTTCTCTTCTGTTGCCAGCGGCCCGGTGGGGCCCGACGGGGGGGTGCGCCTGCTTCGTCGTGGCCCCTGGGTGGCCTCGGGGCCTGGTTCAAGGGCGCCCTCGAGGGCGCGAAGTTATTCGCGCTTCGCGCTTCGCGGTTCGGCTCCGATTCCTCCTCATCCTCCTGCTCTCCCCTGGAAGGCGGCGCGAGAGCGCGAAGCTATTCGCACTTCGCGCTTCGCGCAGCGCGAAGCACGAAGTTGGGAGCCCCTGTGGTTGGGCGAGAGTGCAAGGGGCGCAGGAATATGCGGGGGCAGCCGCATGCCTTGGAGCACCCAGGATGGGCGAGCTGAAGTTCAGGCTTGCGTAGAACACCGCTCCGCTGGACCCCCAGGGGGGGCGCATCAACGTGGCGGCAGTTGCATGCTTGGCAGCTCCCTGAGGGCAGGAGAGGACAGCGGCCAGGGAGGGCGTGGGAGTTGTAACAGCACGTGCTTGATCTCAGGCGGGAGCCGAACACGGGAGGACAGGGGGGAAAACGGGATGAGGACGTGAGTTTGAATACGCGACTTCGAGGTTTTGTGTATTGAGCCAGCCGTTGACGAGGGGGAGGAGTAGGAGGAGGAGGCGGAGGAGGAGGAGGACCAGTCTAAACCCAAGATGCATCAACGATGTTGCAATCAACCCTCTGTCCAAGCTTCTTCATAGGCTCCAAAAAGGACTTTTTTCACTGCGGGAAGAGCCCCGTTGGAAGACAACCGCACGAAAATCTTCAACCGTGCCAAAGCACCATTCCTGGGACTTCAACGCCGTCACTGTTTCGACCTGATGACCCTAAATCGCATCATTATTCCTGAGACGTCAACACCGCGAAGACGATCTTAAATCATGCCAGAACGCAGTTTCTGGTGGTCAAACCACATAATTCCTTGAAGCTGTTGTGAAGTGCTCAGGCGAATGTGCCCGACGCTAAGGCGAGGGCTACATGTTGAAAAGGAGCTGTCCTCCATCCGTGAATCACCTGCAACGTGTGAAGACGAATGTGCGCGGCGCTGAGGCGAGAGCCGCATTTTGAGCATGACCCGCCCTCCATCCATGAAGCCCTTGCACACATTGAAGACGGATGTGTGCGGCGCTGAGGCGAGAGCCGCACTCTGCAAACGACTCGGCCTCCATCCGTGAATCACCTGCAACGTGTTAAGACGAATGTGCGCGGCGCTGAGCTTGGCGTCTTCGGACGTGTGCATTTTTCCTTCGGCGAGGACCATCGAGGACCATCCTTGATCACTTGGAGAAAAAATCCACGCACGAAACCGAAACAAAAACACAGGGAATGGACGTCCGAGCGATGGCCAGTAAGGCGATAGCCGCATCTTGAAAACTTCCCGCCCTCCATCTGTGAAGCTGTTGAACATTTCAAGCTTCAGGATCACACCTCGTGGAGACGTCTCAGGCGGAACGCCCCGTCCGCCCTGCCGACCCGTCCCGGGGGGGCGACAGGGAGGAGTTATTCATAGGGAAAAGGGAGGGGTTTTTAGGAGGAGCAGGAGCAGGAGCAGGAGCAGGAGCAGGAGCAGGAGCAGGAGCAGGAGCAGGTGGATGAGGAGGGTGTTGGTCCAGTCCGCTATCTTTCGGATCGTGAGGAGCCTGTTCCAGGCTGCCGTCCAGGAGCATTTCGACCATGCGTGCCGAGTCAGCTGCACTGCCGCCTTGCTGGATCACTCCAAGCTCGGGGGCAATCAGAAGGTACCGAGACTGCTACTCCTCGGACCTCTCCCGGGGTGGCGTTCTGACCAGGATCTCTAGGCGACTCCAGCGGTGGCAACAATGACCTCCGAGGAGGCCCCGAAGGGGGACAATCGGGCGAAGGGTAGAGGTATGGTTACCGTTATCTCTTCTGAAGCTTACAGCGTTTGAGGTCCAGACCCACTCCCCGGACCAGTTTTTCTTTCCGAGTCGTTTTTTGACGGTCTCGAGGCCTGGTGAGGGCCCCCCGAGGCCGAAAAGAACGAAACATTTCCCGTCGAAAAGAGCGAGCAAAAAACTTCCCGTCGTGATTTTCCCACGATCCAAGGGGGCTGGGTCACAATGTTTTTCAGGATCTCCCGAAGCAGAGGGCCATGTCTCCTCGTCCTCCTCGACCTCCTCCGTCCCCTGCCTCTTCGTCGTCGTCCTCCTCCTCCTCCTCCTCCTCCTCCCTCCTCCCTCCTCCATCCCAGGCTGCAGCCAGGGCGGCGTCCTGGGCAGCGCCGGGGCGGGCGGGGCGGGCGCCTCTGCGGGCCTGCTGGCCGCGGGAACGGCGGCCGCCGCGCTGGCCGCGTCGCAGGCGCCTCTGCGCGGCGAGGGGGGGGCCTTGCCCTCGAGTTCTCCCCCCCCCCAAGCTCCTCAGATCCTCCCCCCCTGGTTCTGATCGATTCGCGCTGGCTCCTCGTCGCTTCCTCTCCCCCTCCTCCTCCTCCTCCTCTCCTCCTCCTCCTCTTCCTCCTCCTCCTCCCTCCTCTCCCCTCCGCCTCCTCTCCCTCCTCCCTCCTCTCCTCCTCCTCCTCCTCCTCCCTCCTCCTCCTCCTCCTCCTCCTCCTCCTCATCCTCCTCTCCCTCCTCCTCCTAGGTGGTTCGGCACTCGCGGGCCTCGGGCGGCCCGTTCTGCGAACCCCCAGCCCCGCGCCCCCCCCTCGGGCGCGCGCGGCGTCTCGGGCACGCGGCGCCAGCGATCGCCGTCGCCCGCCTGGCATCGCAGCCTCCGCCGCAGGCGGGCCAGGGCCCGCGCGCTGCTGCGGCTGTCATCTGCCAGGCGCCTCCTGCTTGACCACCACGGCGATATTCTACCGTGTGGAATGGCAGACAAGAGTGATGGTAAGGTATGGGCATGCAAAGCCCCACGATTTTGTGGATACCAGGCCAACTACCCGTCTCGCTCGACTTGCTGGGCTTGTGGCCGAGACCGCGACGGCAAGCCGACCACGGATGTGCAGTCACGGGGGCGCAAACCCTCGAGGAGGCCATCGCGATCCAAAGAGAAGCCGCCGTGGAAGAAGGATCGCGATGATGATGACCATCGCCATGCTGCTCCTGCTGCCGAGGCTCCTCCAGACTCCAAGGGAGAGGTCATCAAATGCAGGAAGGCACTGCCGTCTCTTCGCAGGCTATACAACGAGGAACACACGATGGTCGTCCACGCTCGTGCAGAACTAGCCAAGGCTGAAGCTGAGGCCAGGGCCAACATGGACCCCGGCGACCTTCTTCGCAGTGCCAGAGATCGTTTCGCCGTCAAGGGGGCGGAGCGTGACAAGCAGCAGGCCAAGGTGCAAAACATGGAGACCGACATCGCCGACGCCAAGAAGCACTTGCGACGCTCGAGAACGATGTCGTCGCGCTGCAGGGCGAGGTGGCCCAGGCTCAGGCGGCGGTGGCAGCAGCGGCTGCGCAGCAGGCGGCCGTGTCGTTGGCCAACGTTGCTCAGGTCGTCCAGCAGCTGCAGACCGTGCTCGCCCAGGCTCAGCAGGCGGTCGCACAGGGCGAGAAGAAGGAGTTCGTCGGCGCGCAGCTGCTTGACCAGATGGGCCAGCACGTCAGCAACCTCGGCGCGGCCGTGCGGCCTCAAACACCAGCTCAGCCTCCAGGGCCCGCGGCTGCTCATCCAGCTGTCGCCGCCCCTTTTCGCGTGCCATCAGCCATGGACACGGACGGCGGCAGGGCAGCGGAGTGGGAGAATGTGGGGGCAGAGGATCACTAGTCATCGCGCTCTTCGGGGATCGAGACGGCCACGGATTGGCATAGCTACCTTCAATGGGTCGTGCTGGAGTTCGTTCCAGACATTTTTGCTTGAAGGTGCAGGGGATGCGAAGATCGTGGCTGCACAAGAGTTGCGGCTGGATGGTGAGCAGTTAGAGAAGGCCCGCTCATGGTGTGCACGCCAAGGATGGGCACCATTTATCACACCGTGTCGGCGACTGATCACTGGGCTACCGAGTGCAGGAGTCGGCGTCTTCGTGCGCACGCACTTGCCCACCGCCGTGCTGAAGGGGCCCAGCGGCCACGAGAGCTTCGAGGTGGTCAAGTCCTGGTCAGTCCTCGTGCACGTCGACGTGGGCTTGCCAGGCGGAGTTTTGTTTGGGTCAGCATATATGGAGCCCACCACGGATGTACAGTTTGTGCCGACCAACCTCGACAGGCACTACAAGCTCGCGGAGTACCTGCGTTTCTTCGGCCTGCCGTTTGTGATTGCAGGAGATTGGAACTTGTCGCCGTCAGATTTCCAGCAGAATGGACTAGCTGATATGGTTCCTGCGGCGCCCTTGACATGCGCAGGGGAAGGGGCGTGCAGATCAGCTAAGGGGACCAGTTCTATGTTGGGCTACTGGCTGTCATCGGCTGATTTGCACGCAGCGTGCTCCAAGCCCAGGCTTCACGCCAAGTGGCCCGCACGCCCGCGCAAACCCGTACATTTTGACTTGGCTGCTCATCCCCGTCAGCTTCGGCTTCTTACAGTTCGAGCGCCCAAGGCCTTTCCTCGAGGACGTCCTTCAGATGTGGGTAGTCACCCACTCCAGGGGCCACCAGAGGAAAAGGCATATGTTGACACTATGCAACAGGGCGCTCAGCTGGGGGTACCTGCTAACTCTGCTCAGGCGCAAGAGCGTCTGGACAATATATACGTGTACTTGATGGCCAATGTGGAAACAGACCCCACCCGCATCTATGAGCTCGGCGACGCGGACGCGTACAAAGGCAGCGCAGACGGCATCATGTATGTCTGGCGGACCATTGGAGGCCCAGCCCGAGGTCCTCATCCAGCAGCTGGCAGTGAGTCGAGGTACATTCGGGCCATCAGCACGGCCTTGAAGGATCTTGGCACCCAGCAGTTAGACGGCAGCAAGAAGCATCGGCGCTGGGATCACCCCAGTCGCCTTCTACGCCCAGGCCACAAGCAGGATGTTCACGCAGCTGGAGGTTTCTTCTGTTTGGAAATGGCTTGGCCTTTTATATACCTCGCTTCGCGAGCACCTCCTGATCTCAACCAACATTGCTTAGGTGCCTTTGCAGATCAGCTCGCGCGACATGCTGATAAGTTAGAGACTCAGGCAGGTCGGGCACGGCTCCAGTCTGTTCACAGGTGGGCTCGGGATGCACTGGTATCTGGACCTGCTCCGCTCTTCGGCCTCGCGCGCATCAAGACATGGTCTCACAGCCAGGTCGCCCGTCATGGTGACATCACCTCGCACCCCTCGGCCATTGCTGACAGCCAGATGGAGATGCGGAGCCGCATCTGGGAGGGCACTACTGTTTCGGCTAAGCCAGGCCTGGACGGTCTCTACCAGCAAGAAGGCCAGCCAGAGGACGAGGCCGACACTCAGGTTATGAATCACCTCACCGACGGAGCAGATCAAGGCATACTCGAGGATTTCGCTCGTCTGCCGTCCAATGCGTTGCCCGTTCCCACTGTCGCGCAGGTTTGACATGCAGCGAAGACCTTCAGATGGAGAGCGGGCCTTGGACATGATGCGCTACCTCTCAGGGCTTGGGCGTTGCTGTCATATTCTGCATTGGCAATGCTACTCTATCTTTTCTGGGCGGCAGAATCGTGGGCGAGACGGTCAACCAACATGTTAGTGACCCGCATAATGCTGTCGGCCAAGCCTCAGGGGGGTTTTAGGCCGATCGCCCTTCTACCGTCGATTTATCCTGTATACACCAAGCTGCAAATGGGACATGTGCGATCTTGGATTGCCCGTCGCAGCCGCCCTTACTTCGCCCTCGGCGAAGGCAGGTTGACACTGGATGTAGGCGCCAGGACCTTGCTCTATGCTGAGGCCAATGCAGGTACACAGTCCAAGTCAATTCTCACGGCGTTGGTGGATGTCAGCAAATGTTTTGATCGCGTCTGCTGGGGACGGGTGCTGCGGGCCGCTGCTCAGCTCGACTTCCCGACGCCGTTGCTCAAGCTATGCTTGGCGATGGACTGCGCTCCGAGGCGCATTCGTTGGGATTCGACCTACAGTTACGCGGTCCAAGTGCAACGAGGTATTCTCCCTGGCTGCTCTGTGGCCATGTTTATGCTTCAGTTGGTCATGATGCTGCCCTTCGATGTGTTCGAGAAGTCTTTCGCGCTGGGCGAGGCGCATCATTCTTTGGATATATATATATATATGCAGATGATACCACGCTCCAGGTGGTCGCCACGTCGCAGGATATCGTTGAGGCATCGGTGCGCATCCTCCAGAGGTTGGCGGCGGTACTAAACGCGCTGGACCTTCCCATAGCTTCGGACAAGGCTAAGATCATCGCCTCGTCGCCAGGCGTTGAGCAGCAGGTAGCCAGACCAGTCCGACGTCATGGTTTCCGAGCGTGCTCAGCATTGGAGATTCTGGGCTTGGAGGACCGCGGTGGGGCAAAGCTTCGTCATAGCGCTATCAGGAAGCAACTGGCAAAGATGAAGGCAAGGCTCCCACGTTTCAAAGGGTTATGCGCCGTGGCACGGGTGGGAAGAGCAGCTGCGCAGCCTTGCATAGATCCTGCCTTCTTGTACGGGGTCCAGGTGATTGGAGCCACCAAGACCATGGCCGCAGCCATGGCTAGGATGGTCAGGGTTGGATGGGGTCGCGCGCCGTCTGCAACTTCGATATGGCTCGAGTTCCAGCTGGAACCTCGGAGGGATCAGCATCCTGAGATATTTGCAGTTGCAGAGCCGCTCTACACGTGGGCTCAGATGGTGGCAGCCTCTTCCGTACCACGTGAAGTGCTGCGCCAGACTTTCGTGCAACAGCAGCAGGCTCTGGGAAATGACCCAAAGTCGGCAGCTGCTTCAGGATCTGCAGGTGCGGTATGGAAGATTTTAGTCCAATTGGAGTGGAGAGTGCATTCACCCTTTCGGCTGGACCTGACCGACGATTCGCCAGACTGGATCCGCACCCTGGCGCGCAGGTCTTTCGTCAATCTGAAATGGGAAGAATGGGCCCGCCGTAAAGACCGCGCTCCCGAGACGACTGCACCAACGAGAAGTCCGAGCGGATACTGGATGCACCCATTGCAGATGTTCCTTGCGCCGAAGGAACAGGCTCGCCGCTGGAAGCTACCGCCCAGGGCTCGATGTGCGCTCAGATCGACCGTCATCGGTGGCCAGTGGTCTCAGGCGAGGCTGCGCAAACACGGAAATGCTGGAGATGGAGAATGCATGTTTTGTCAGAGCTGTCCAGGCACACTTCATCATCGTCTCTGGTTTTGCCCGAACTTGGACGACGCGAGGGCGCAGGCCGTGGACCAGCACATACTCGAAGCAGCACGAGCAGCCCCAGACAATGATATGTTATATACACGGGGTCTCCTACA